CGCAGAAATTCTTTCATTAGGCAATAATAATCATGATGATAATTATAAAAGTAATAAAAGTACAAGTAAAAGAAAAAGTTAATAATACTAATTTACAGTAATACAATAAGTATACAAAACTTGATTTTTAATGCTATTTTAGTTATTTATTTAAGAAACCACTTCTGAAGATGAGATTGAAGTACAAGAGATTAACAAATATGTAAAAGTTATACCAACTCAAGTAGTGGTTAGACAAGCTCCTATCACAAATTATGTGTCACGCCCATTATCAACAAAAGATGATTCACATTTTCGTCAACTCTTTTTTAATATGATTATATCAAATGGATTACCTTTTTCCTTTGCAGAAAACCCAGAAACTCATGAACTCTTTAAGTTTTGTATACCAGCAGTCAAATTACCATTAGCAAAAACACTATCTGGGTCAGTTTTAAAGAATGCATCAAAAAATTTAGTTGAAGAAAACATTTCTATTGCACAGAAAAATTTAGGTGGAGTTACTGCTATCTTTGATAGATGGACTAATGTTCAATCAGAACATTTATTTGGTATAGTGTTTATTACATCAGAAGGAAAAACAATAACATGAGGTGCAAAAGATATTAGTTCTGAACAATTCAAAATACAAAATGTGATTTGTCATATTAAGGATATTATGGAGGAGGCACACAACCACAAGATTAACATTAAGTACTTTGTCTCAGATTCAGCTAAAAAATATACTGCTGCAAAGTATTATATTATTTTATTAAAATTATTTTGAATATATTCTTAATTAATAATTTTCTTAAAATATAAAATATAGGTGTCAAATGCGTGTAGAATATAAAGACAAAATTTTCTTACCATGTATGGCATACCAAATGAACCTAGTATTTGGAGATATATTTAAGGAATCAAAAAAATATAAGGATGTCTCCACAAAAGCAATTTGAATTGTTAGTTTTTTTAATATGTCTTCCTTTTTTGCTGATAACTTAAGAGATGAGCAAATGGCAATTTATAAAAAACCCATTGCATTAACAAGACCTGGTGACACACGCTGAAATAGTTTTTATTTCTGTTTTAATAGCTTTTTAAAAACTGAAGTTGCATTAAAAGTAATTAAAAATTTTCTAATTCCTTATATTATCAAATAAAAATATTAATAATTACTTTAGTCACTAGTAGCAAAATTCTCTCCTCAACGTTCTAAATCTGGACGTTCATGCAAAATCTCTTCAAATAACAAGTTGTTACCAGGACCCCAGATATCTAATATAAAGGTCATAATGGACTTTTAGCTAAAAACATCCCTTTTTGCTAAAACTCAAAAAATCGTTTTTTGTAAATATCTCAGCATCCAGTGATTCAATTTTAATGAACTTTTTTTATTTTGTAGCCCTCATTTAGCACTACAATAAAGTTCATCAAAATTGGACCACTGGATGCTAAGATATTTACAAAAAATGATTTTTTAAACCTCTGAAAAATGGGCCAATCTGCCGAAAGTGTGACTTAGCGATCATTGTACTTTCTTTCCCGTTGGGTTCTGCCCATTTTTTTCCAAGAAGACATGGATGAAAAATATGAGGATTTTTTGCCTTGAGTGATAGTAAAAAGACTTTTTGACATTATATGAAGTTATTACCGAGATCTTTAGTTTCGCCTAAATTCCTTATGGCTCATATTGAGTTAGGACCATTATCATGAGTTTTGGAGTTACCAATAATAACGTAAGATGGCAGTTCCATACGAACATTCTCCTGGACTTTCTAAAAGGTTAAAAAGTAGTGCGTCTTAATTCCTACGCCTTTAAAGTCTAACTGGCCAAGTGGTTCGCAGGTTGGACCGTTATTTCTTGGAAGTAGCTCCTGACCAACGTATTTCTTACTAGTTGATTTTGTTAACAGGGGGGAGTTAGTCTTCTAAAATAAGGAGACAGAGTTGAGATATATGTTTAGTGTTTTTTACTTAAGTTTTTCTCATTGTACTTTGAGTTTTCCTGAGATTTATGTTTTTATTTTTTTCTTTTTGTTTTTCTTGGTTGCTTTTTTTGGTGTAACTTTATTTTCTTTGGGGGATGGGGGGATACTGGAAAATTTGATCATCATGGTGGCTTGGTGTTACTAATTTTTAAAATCGATGATTACTCAGGTGATAAGGGGGGTGACAGGTTGGGTACCGCAGTTTTTGTAGTATACTGATCATGATAGTCACATGTTGGGCTATCATTGGATTGACTTATCTAGGTAGATCTTAGGCTGATAGATTGTTCGCAATGAGATGGGTGTCCTCCGTTAGGGATTGTTTGAAATGAGGTGGGTATCCCTGTTGGAATTGCACGACACTAAAAAGTTCCCTAGCGGCTGGACTGCACGACACTAAAAAGTTTCTTGAGGTCTTTGTGAAATAGGTTTGTTATTTATAATATGTAGTCAAATAGGAGAAATTGAATTTTGTGTATTTTTGATAGCGCTAATGGTATTTGGCAATGGGATTCTTCGATCTTTAAATGTAGCGAGGGATCTCACTGGGTACGTATAGCATAGTCGATTCTACCGGATTTGAGATATAATTTGGAGGGTAGCCATAGTTATTTATATAGAGAGGGTGTTGGGTTTATAATCTTGCATTTTTTTTATATGTATTTTTTGGAAGATTATTGTTCTTGTATTAAATTAGTTCTGCACTTTGTTGCAGTTCTTTTTTGAATACCTGGTATTCTCTAAAGTAACTTGTGGCAAAAATTAATAAAATTCAAGCGCAGCTTTGTTAAACTGAAAGTGTGACTTATGACCTGTTTTGGAAATATTCGGGGTCCTTTGTTACCAGTTGATATTATTCAAATTTCTACATTTTAGGCAAACACTATTTGAATTACAAAATTTATTACTTTCATTTTGTGGATTTCTTAATAAACTTCAAAAGGATATATCACGACATTATGAAGTACTCCACGTTTTTGCTTATACAATAAAGCTTTTTCGTAAATTATCGTACCCTGATTTTAGTACAAAAATGGTAGATCGACTTGAAAAAAAATGGGCTTAATGGAAGCAACCACTCTTGTTGTTTTCTTTTATTCTTCACCCACATTATGGTATTGAAATATTTCATAAAACTGCACAGTAAGTTACTTATACAGATTTTGGGCAATGGCTAAATTATTATTATGAAATTTGATATGGAATTTGACTAAAATCTATTTTTCTAGAATTTGTTAAGTTTAAAAAAGAACAATATCCTTTTGATCCAGCATCAATAGAGCAATTTGGTGAGGACATTATGAGTTTTTGAGAATCATGTTTAGGACATGCTCCAGAATTATCACGTTTTGCACTGCATATTTATGGTATTTGCGTAAATGCTGCTTCAGTAGGACGATTATGGTCCATTATGGGATTTATTCATACAACAAGAAGAAATCAATTAGAAGTAAGTTATTGACTAAAAAATAGGTACTATTATTAATATGAGATAAATTTTACTTTAGTTTATTTTACACAGGTTGAAAAGTGAAAAATCAGTCATCAATCAGTCACCAATCAGTTACAAATCAGGTAGCTAATTGGTGGCTGATTGGTGGTCAATTGGTGACCGATTGGCATTTTACCAAATACCGTCACCAATCAGGCAGTTTGCTAACTTTTTATCTAGTGATCAGAAAAAGATGAAATATAGCTCATTGGAATCGTCTCAATAAGATGAATCTAATGGTAGTAAAATTGCATTTCTAGAATTAATATTTAATAAAAAATTAAATAAAATATAAATGATACATTTTTATTTTTATATTTTACTTAACTTCTCATCAAATATTAATCATAGAAATGCAATTTTACTACCATTAGATTTGTCTTGTTGAGATGATTCCAATGAGCTATATTTCATTTTTTTCTGATCATTGGATCAAAAGTTAGCAAACTGCCTGATTGGTGAATGGTGACTGATTGATGCCTGATTTTTCACTCTTCGACCTATATTATTTATTTATAATTTATTTAATTTATCTCTATTATTTATTAATTAGAATGAAAAAGTTTTGGATATTGCAAGAATTCAGAGTAGCATTCTTTATAAACGAAAAGTTAAAGAAGTAGAAGAAGCTCAAAAATAAGCACGATGTCTCCATATTTCTTTGCCAATATTAGACAATCAGGATGAAAATTTAGAACAGAAAGAAAATGAGTTTATTTCCAAAGATGGCCTAAATGTTAGTGACTGGGATGACGCAGATAATGTGGATGAAGTCAACAAAGAAAATAATGATTTGGACGAAGAAGAAGCTAATGATTCAAGAACTGAAGAAGCCAAAGATGATTTCTATTAGTCTGAAATCTGTGAAAATTGGATTAATTTAGCTGAACATGAAAATCAGTTTGATAATGAAGAAGATAATCATTTATTAGAAATGGCACAAAATTTTTATGCAGCTGGAAGAAATGTACATCCTGCTGATGATGAGACTGCAAAGTGGAATTTGAAATATCTTTTTAACGAAAATATCCAAGCACCAACTCTTTTAGGAATAGATAATAATTTAGCTTAATATATTATGGTATTGTATCATATAATAAATGTATCACATGATTTGAAAAATACATGCTGCTTTTGATTTTTTTTTTGAGGTTTGATCTATTACCTTAAATAAATAAAATGATTTACAAATTTTACAAAATATACAATATTGACTGAATGACTAAAATCATTTGTCATTTGAGTAAACGAAATGACAAATGACAAATGACATGTCATTTGAATCATTTGTCATTTGCCAAACACTGATTTAGATGGTAATAAATTTATATTTGTTAAAATGATATTGATCAAGTTATATCATTTTAAGTTTTAAGAATTATATAAATAATTTATGCAGTAAAGTAATTTATATATTATAAAAACAAAACTATAAATTATTTATATTACATTAGTCTATATGTACCCATAACTAGTAAGATTTTTTACAAATTTTTAAAATTTCAATTTAATAATTTTTGGACTGGTGAACGAAATATAAATCAGTTTACGTAACGACTAACGAGCAAATGACTGGAGAAAAAAAAATATATGATAATTACGTGACACGGGTTGGAAAAAAAACTTTTATTTGTTTTAAAAAAAAAAAAATTGCAATAACCGCATAATATTATAGTGAACATAATTGCATATTTTAAAAAATAATTATGAGCATTAAAAATGTTAAGAGAATACGAATGGATTATTTACAGAATATATTGTAATGTAATATTATATATTTCCGGATGACAATTCTCTCAAGCTTTAATGCTTATAATTCAAAATAACATAACAACTTCTATTCTTCTTTTTTGGCAGTCTTGTCATCATTAACAAGACCTTTTGTTACAGCAAAAGATTTAGCCTTCTCATAAACTCCTCCACTATGTTGTTTAGCCATAGTAAGACCACTAAAAATACACCATCAGATAAATGATAAATTCGTATTTTGATAAGTCATTTCATCGTTATTAAAATGTTAAAACTTACCGGTCAAAATGAGAACGCAAAAACTTGTTAAATTGATATAATTTTTCATCAACAAACTCTTTATTTTTCTGATACGTTATTGGGGTAGAGAAACTAAGAATAAGGCCTTGGATATGGAATAATAAAGATTATAAACGTTAATCAAATATTACGATTTCAGCTATAATAAGTATAATTAAGCCATACCAATTCCAAAGAGCGTTCGGAAACTAATCCAAGTGCCCAAAGTCCATAATATGTAGAACATAACAACGTGCTATTATTGAAAAATGAAATAGTAAGTATTCAAAAATTGTATAATTAACAAAATTAATATAGTATACCCTCATAGTTCTCATTGGGTCATCAACCAAAGCAATCTTCTGAGCTTCCAACAGTACGAAGTTGGCAGTGTCGATTATTGAATCTAAATATTTTTCTGCATCTTCGCGTTCAATATACCATGGCTTGTTTACCAATAAGTGCCTACAAATCATCACATAAATATTTTAGTTTATATATATATTTCGATGTCGCAACGTTAATTAAACGTTTGCATACTCATGTGGATTGACAGGTTTTTGGTTGATTAAAGACTGGAACTGTTTGAAACCCATTACGTAAATCCAATTCACTCCTATCAAAATAGCAGCTAAGGCAAAGAATGTATTGAACAAGGAATAGTAGGCAGTGAAGATCAAGAATGATAAACTAGCTGCCAATATAGCACCGGAATGTGTAGGATTCTCCCAATAGACAAGTTGAGTGACTAGCGATGATCAATCACATTTTGACATTAATACGCCATAAAACGCAAAATTGAACTAATGTCTTAATTGTATTACCTCTGTGAGTTAAATTTTTGAAGGGATCTATAATTTTCGTGTAACAAGATGATAGATTAGACACATTTTATAAACACCATTCTTGTACTACATAAGATCAAAAAATATCATACTTTCGATATTTTTAGCTTGTCTCTTCTTCTCAACATGATCTTTATCATTCTGTGTTGAAGGATTTGCGGTGACTTCCTTGATCTTCTCCACCAACTTATTAGTAGCTTCTTCAATAAGCTCTTTTTGCGTTTCTTTTGTTGGTTCCATTGTTGGATGCTGGTGGTGTTGTTCAATTGTAGGTTGAGCGTTTTCCTTACTATCATTCAATATATTATCATTACTAATAATATTATCAGTATTCATAATAGGCTGAGTATCCATGATCGATAGTTTATATTATTAACGTTAATAGACGATAAAATATATCTTTTTTTTCCTATAATAGAGGGAATTTCAAAAAAAAAAAATTTTTTTGTGGGAAAAATGAGATTTTATTCTTTTATAAATAAAAATCCGATTTTTTTTTATAAACAACTTTATACTATGAACACAATACTAATGACGAAAGCAAAAAATTTATTGTGTGTGAGAAATAAGTCAACTCCTAGTTACATAATTAAAGTTTAGTCTGATTTTTTTCAGTGGTTGATTAAATTTCCCAGTAGTTATTTATATTAATTAGGCGTAATCATGATGTAAATTCGAGATCAAAATGATGACGCAACAGATGTATAAACTTACATAATTAATACTTAATAACTTTTGTCGCTTTAAGAGGCTGAAATTGGCGGAATTTTATCACGTTTGCTTTAAGTTTGATCAAATCTTAAAATGCCACGTCTATCAGCAAGATTTTCTTTGTGTTTTCTTTGTGCTTAATCGACACGTATTAGGTATTCGTCTGCATAAATCTGCACAACCTACAATTTTTCACATGTAATTGCGACAGAAAGCGGCAGTGTAAAGTGGCGAAGCTGATTCTGTTGATTCGATGATAAGGGATACTGTTTAAGTGTTGAACATCATCACACGATGGCACGATCCTCCAAAACCCTTTATACGGAAATATAAGAAATTTTTTGTTGAAGTTTCTCGATAGATCACGAGGGTCACGAGGGGAAAAAAATATTTAAATGATTACAATCCGTCATCGTGTTTTGGGTTTAATTTATTAAGTTTCGTAATTTTGGCATAATTTAATTATGTAAACATACGCCTAAGAAATCATCGTAAAATTTATAATAAAATAACCGAATATTTGTAATTTTAATTATTTAGGTGATGTCATATTTACAATCGCATAATGCTCAAACTCAGTTTTTTTCAACTTTTCTCGCACTTCTCTTACGGTAATCTAACACCATTGCCCAAAAAACGTCAGTAAATCAAAATAATCTTTTCCTTTATTTCTTTGATATACATAACTTCTAATTTTACTAATATTTAATAAATTATTTCATAATAAAATATTGCAAAAAAAGAAATTATTTCTTATTATTGTAGAAATTAATAAACTAATATTATATAAATATTATCATAATATTTTATATTTTATATACTGTATGTTTACATATTAAATAATATTAAAAAGATAATAAAATAAACAATAGTTTAATATTGAATAGAGGGGTAAGCAGTTTGGACCATTTATATCCAATAACTATACAGTATACTGTATATCCAAAATCATAATAAACTCAATTAACTTTAATTTATAGTGAAATTTTAATATACAATTAATTTTACATCTCTTAGGATTACCAGGGTTATGCTTATTTATAATAAAAGTTTCCATAAAAAATTTTAGTAATTTTACCAGTGATTCTATTGGTTAACTGTTTAAAAAAAAAAAATTCAAAATAACTTAGTATGAGTCTGTATAATATTTTTTTTTTATATGTAATTTATCTATAGTATATAGTAGGATCTTTAAAATTTTTTATATATAAATTTTCTTATAATTCTGGCATGGTGATCTTTCTATGAAAAGTCTTTATACTTAAAATATACTTAAAATTTTATTAAAATATACTTGAAATAAGTATCAATTTTTAATTCATGATATACTTTATAATATACCTAAAAAAATATGCCTAAAATACTCTTAAAATATACTTTTGATGTACTTGTTTTGCTCAAGTACTTAAATTATACTTAAAATATACTTAAACTAGAATTTAAGTACAATATAAATGTATTTTTTACATGTTTAAAATATTCTTAAAATATGTTTAAATTAAAATTTAAGTACAATATAAGTGTATTTTTCATATACTTAAAATATACTTAAATTGACATTTATATTATACTTAAATTCTAGTTTAAATATATTTTAAGTATAATTTAAGTACTTAGGTAAAAAACAAATACATTAAAAATATATTTTAAAAGTATTTTAGGCATATTTAAGTATATTATAAGTATATTGTGAATTAAAATTAATACTTATTTTAAGTATATTTTAATAAAATTTTAAGTATATTTCAAATATAAAGACTTTTTATAGAGCCTTTATTAGAAGTAAGCAGGTCTTGGTATGATTATAATAAGATAATAAATTTATTAATAAAAATATTAATTCAGTATTTTAATAATATTTATATATACATAAATTAAAGAATATAACTAATTTAGAGTGATTTTAATTATTTTCACCTAAGGTGATTTAACCTGATAATTTTATATAACAGATAATTTACCCAGTGATATCACCTCATTATTAAATTTGTACACGTGCACCTTATTAAATTTTATTGGCTAATTAATGTGCTGATCATTTTCAGCTTATGTTTGTTTATTTTTTTTTTAAATGTACTTGGATAGTTGAATAATCTTTTTTTTTTAGGTCCTTTCACTCCTTTACACGGCATCCAGGTACGTTTTCTTTTTTTTCATTTTTGCTTCATGCATTTTATTTCCTACTAACTTTATTTCATTTTTTTAGGTCCTTTGGCTTTTTTGGTTTTGCAATTAAGTATGTCCAGCACTACATGGTCGTTTTTCTTATTTTTTATTTCGTTCTTGAATTTCGTTTCTTACATTTTGTATTTTGTTCTTTTTAAGCCTTTTCAGTTCTTCTCTGCAACTACTAAGGTATGTTTTTATTTTTTGTTTTCGTTTATTTATTATATATAATCTCTGTTCCCTACTAACTTTATTTCTTCTTTTATTTTATGGGTTTAGTTGTTACTTGGTCCCCTATTTATCTCATTTTCGTTCCTTCTCCATTTTTTGCTCTCTTTTTGCCTCTTCATTTCTTTTGCTCTTTTTGTTCTTCCCTTCCTTCATTTTTTCCGTTATTTTTATTTCCTTTTTGGTCTTTTCATTTTTTTTTGTTTTTACTTTTTTTTTTGTTTTTACTTTTTTTTTTGTTTTTACTTTTTTTTTTGTTTTTACTTTGTTTTTTTTATTCCTTTCTTTTTTTTCGTTCCTATTTATTCTTTTTCATATCTCTCATTCGTTTTTATTTCATTTCCACTTCATCTTTTTCGTTCCTTTACACTGCCCTTCGTTACTTTCATTTTTTTCTATTCCCACTTTATCTTTTTCATTCATTTACACTATCCTTTGTTATTTTAATTTTTTTTTCATTCCCATTTCATCCTTTTCATTTCTTTACACTACCCTTTGTTCCTTTCATTTTTTTATTTCCCTTTGCTCCATTTTGTCCCCCTTTATTCTTTTCATTTTTTTTCATTCCTACTTTATCTTTTTCGTTCCTTTCGTTCTTGCACTCTCTTTTTGCTCCATTTCATTCCTTCTTTACTTCCCTTCATTTCTTTCATTCCCTTTCACTCCCTATTTTTTTCATTTACCCTCATTCTTTTTTCCCTTTTTCATTCATATATTCTTTTTTCTTTATCATTGTGACTCATTCTTTTTATTATTCCTATTAAAAAATTTAGAATTTTGGATAGTATGAGTTTGTTTTTTTCAATCAATAAATCATGTAATCTATTAAAAATTAATAAATTGTTATAAACTTTTAGTGCGAAAGTATTTTAAGCACATTTATTATACAGTATATTTAAAAAAATTTAGCCAATCAAAAAATTTTAAAAAATTTACAGAGGATTTATATGCCAAATTATGAAGTGAGAAATATTAAATTTACACTAATCAAATTTAATAAATTTAATAAATTAATCGTGACCTAGGTGAAATCACCTTTAAGTGATTTCACTTCGAATGCAAATTAGCAACATTCTAAATTAAATATAATTATATATATAAAAATTTATAAAAAAATTTATAATATAAAATATACTTAAATTTATTTACTTGTTACAAATATTATAAGATTTTTGAAAAATAAAAACTTTTTTTATTATTAATTCGTAATTTATCGATCATGTGTAGCACGTGCATATAAGCCACGTAATTGATTTTCGGGTTAATAACTTATAATTTTTTCATATTCTTCGTGAATCTCAAGAAACCCATAGTGATTCTGTGTTTGTTAAGGCTAGTTTCGTTATAGTTAACAATTTTACATATTAAATAATAATCATATAAATATACAAATAGTTATTGTTTAAAAAATTGTGTAAATATTATCGTACTTAAGATAAAACGACGCGAACTAGCAGTTACGTTAGTTTCTTGTAGAATAATTGAACACCACTTACATTATGGACCATTTTCACGAAACTGGTAGTTTATTCCAACAATAAAAAGTAGTAATGATATAGAAATGATGTATCCTATTCGGATTGGTATGAGAACACAAGTAGAAATAAATGGAAAAAAATTTACTATGCGTATTTTAGAAGGAAACAAATTTGATTTGAACCAACCTGGTTATACTTGTCAATGTGATTCTGATTCCAGTGAAATTGAAGATAATCCAACTAATGCAATTACTTCTTTATATAGACAAATTTTCAAAACTCAAACAAAAATTTAGGGTTCAATGGTTATGGGTTTTGATAAGGATTCAATATTTACCAAATTATTACAAGATATAGAATTCCGCCCTTATTCTATTAGTATAGCAGATAAACTGACAATTATAGTTTTCAGTTTAGGTGCTTCTAAAAAAGAAAGTTGGTTGGGTGCTGGAGAAGGATATATGGCTTCTTTTATTCATATTTTTAGAAAAGAACGTTGTATTTTTGTTCAAAAATTTATAAAAAACAAGTCCATAGTAGAAGTATGGAATAATAGCACTAAAATTTCACATTATGAAGGTAGTTCACCTGTAGAAGTTTGGCAAAAAATTGGAATTTTGGGAAAATTCCAAGGTACACAATTATTTGGGCTTGAGCATGCATATACGAGATCTGCGTTAAGAAGATTATATATTCCAAAGTGTCAACCATCTCAATAGAGTAATGAAAAACTAATGAATAGTTTATACGAATATCACCTCAAAAGAAGAACTATTGTTGGAATAAATTGGTTACATTTATTTAAACAGTGAGAGTCTGGTGGAAATATTATTGAAATAAATACAATCCTTACAAATTTATATCCAAAAAATTACCAATTTAGTGATAGTGAAATGCAAGCTTGGAGCTCTATGCTTAAAGCTGCTGGTTGTACAGATATAACACCTTTTAATAGTGAAGTATCTCCAGTAATTGTATTTTATAATTGATTTATCTCGTCTTACATTAGGAATTATCAAAATTCATATAAAAAACAGCATAAATTTTGGTCACGATCTTTAGATCCTACAGATGATAAAAATGCTTTGAAGAATCTCTTTCAACTAGGCTTTTTAAATCCATATCCATCAAGTATTCAAAATCCGTCACAAATATTTTGGGATTGTTTTGCGAAAAGTTTAACACAAAATCCAAAAGGTCCTGATGGGATACGACGAATTTTATCCATTATTGCACATCAATTTTCTTATCAGGAATTACAAAATAGACTTGGAGTAAATATAATATGAACTATATTCTTGTATATCTTCGTGAAATATTCTAAATAAATTTGATGATATTAATTTAGGTTTCACCTACAACTATTAATGCGGCAAGAAAATATGCTACACTCAATGGTTCAGGATGCCGACAAATAAAAAAACCTATAATTATACGTAGCCCACCTTTTACTAAAGAAATAGAAGACCAATTTGAAGCTTTTTTTTCAGACAAAG